ATTCTTATTGAGATTAGACCAGAATTACAAAAACTGTCAAAAAGAATAAAATTCTCCTTAAACTTCTGCTGTTACTGGAGCTAAATGTCCATGAGTGGAAACATTAATATTTTTAAATAGTTCTATTGAGGTGTAGTTTACATACCATACATTCACGTCTTTTAAGTTCAGGGAGCCATAATTTTAATGTCATTATATAATAGTCACAAGAGCTGTTTCTGACTCTACAGTAATGCTTCACATGTAGTTAATATACTAAGCATTTTGTTGTTATATCAATAAGATGATCCCAAACATTGGTCACAATTTTGGTGAGAAAGACTTTAGGATCTTGTTAGGAAACGTGTCAGTGGTATCACTCCCGTCGTACATTATTACTCAAGTCTACTTTTTATTCAGATCAAGACTCTCCTGTTAGGCTGTGAGACACAACTTTCCACCCACACAGGAACTCATGAAATCTCCAGGGTATGTGTTATCAGGGAAGGTACTTCCAACTTGGAGAAAATACCAAATGCCATTTGAAGGTATATCTTTAACATTGTTTTTTAAAAATTAAGAATAAATGAACAGATTACATCCAGCAGATAAAGAGCTTTTGTTACATTATCTTAAAAATGGTCCTTACTATTTAGGTTCTGTAGAGAATATTGACTCAGAGACTGAAGATTTGGTTTTGGGTCCTGTGGAACTACTTACAAGGCTCTCAGGCCTCATCTTGGTTCACTCATAATCTCTGGGGCTTAGTGTCCCATCAGTGATATTGGGACCAGGATAATTGCCCTGACTAATTTAGAGAGTTTTAATTAGGAGCAATGGAAATAATGTAAGGAAAAAGTTCTTTGTTAGCCACAAAGTGCTGGTCAATTGTAAGGTATTACTTTTGTTATCACAAATCAAGAAAATGTTCTTTATTAATCAAAATCATTTGCAAATAGTTCTAAGTGTCTATCTGAAACTTGAGTCCCCCTAAAATCGAGCTCCTCTGCTGAGTTTGCAGTTCACCTCTCTATCCAAAATGTTGTTCCCTTTCTTGTCCAATCCTATTCCCCTCAAGATTGAGGAGTATCAAAGAAAAGGGGATTAAACTGAGCGGGACACTGTGGGGCCCTTCTGGGGCCCAAAACCTTTCCATGTCCCTTGTTTCTTGCTTGTAGGAAAAAGACTTTCAGTCTCTTTGGCCTCCCCTGAGTTCCAAAGGGTAGATTCAAAGAGTTACTAATTAGGAGAGTGAGGAAATGCAGAAAGAAGCAACAGTGCAGGATAGGGCAAGGTCCTGGTTCTTCCTTGGGTGATATACATAACAACCTGACACATGTCTCTGAGTTCTTCTACAGGAACTAAGGCTCCCACCCAGGTGGAGGATGGTAACTCCAGGTTGAGCACAAGCATGGGGACCCAGACTGGTTGGAACCAGAAAGCCAATGACTGAGATACCTGGGACACCACCCTGTTACCTCACCACCAACCAATCAGAAGAAAGTCACACACCCTGCAGCCCTCCCACAAATTTTGCCTGTAAAAATTCTTACCCCAAAATTGATTTTGGCAGGTGAGAGGACCTTGGTTCTTGTCTTCTCTGGAGAAAGAATTCCACAAACAGACCAAGGTTATAAGGCAGAGTTTATTAGAAGCACAGTACGTGTGGGAGAGTGCACCAAGAAGCAGTTTATTTAGGGCAGGAGTGAAAGTTACACACTTGGAGAAGAAGAGCATGGATGTCCTCGAGAGTGAGGAACACACGATAGGGACAGCCTAGGTTGTTAATATGGGGTTAATCTTCCAGATTTAGATGAGGGTGCCTGCCCTTTCCCTCCCCTGTGATCACATTGTCTGCAGTTTCTTATTTGGGCTTCCACCAGGCCCCATTTTGAATCTTTCCCATGAGCACATAAGCGAAAACCCACGGGGTAGAGGTGGGTAAAAACTGCAATGCTAATGATATTATAATGATATTACAATGTGTCCAAGGCTACTAGAGGACAGCTAGAGATGCCCTCTGTGTGTGTGTCAGGCTGGGAAACCTCCTTGACCACAAGAATGTGGAGGCTGAGGTGGTCCTCCTCATCTTTCCTCTGTTTAGGGCTCATCATACTAATAGTAGTTTATCTCAAAGGGTCAGCATGAAACCTGCTGCAACAGATTAACCTGAAGCCTATCTATCTCTTACTGCAAAGTGCATGCTCCACAATTTTCATGGTCAGAGTTTCTTGCTCAGATGTTACAGATTTTCTGTTTCAGACGCCATTTCTCCTTGTGTCATGGCCTCATTTAGTGCAAAACTGGGAGATGGCTTTGCCTTCTGCCTAATGTCTATATATAAGGAGGCTGTTCTTGGACCTGGCTCCAGCTTTCCTGCCTCCAAACCATTGGAGAGTTTGGGCATTTTGAGCATGAGCTGCCCGTTCTCCTTGCTTGGCCTTGCAATAAACCTTTCTCTGCTCCAAACTTGGGTTTGTTTGGCCTCCATGTGCATTGGGCACATGAACTTGGGTTGACAACATATCTAAACTTGGTGCTATATATTCAGGATAAACACATGTGGCTCTGAAATGGACACCTGTAGGGCCTTTGCTCCATAGGGATAATGAAGAGCTGGGGTGGATCTCCTGCCTTCACCTTCAACTCCATGTGCTTTCTTCCTGCCACTTCCGATTCTGAATTATTACATTCTTTATTATTAGCAGTTTATTTATTATCACATTAAAAAATAACAAAAACACCTAGTAAGTCACCTGAAGAATAACCATATTTCTTTAGATAAAATGGGGTAAATTTGTGCCTCTAAATAAGCTTAAAAATAAATAAATAATTAAGCTTAGTTATGGGACAAATAGACTGCATAAGTTGTAAAGCAAGTAAAAAGTTTTGGTAAAAATTGTAAATAAGTAAAGATAAAATCATAATGGTAAAGCTAATGCCAAAAAATATTGTTTTCTGATGGTGGCATCACAAGCCTCAGGGCTTGTCCCTAGCACTTCCATGGACTTGATCAAGCTATACATGTTTTTCTTAAAAATTTTCCATAAAATTCAGCTAACAGTTTTAACATATTACAAAGCACATTAGGTATCTTGGACATCCCGAAGCATAGCAAGCTTATTTATACTTGGTTTGGATTAATTAAACTTGACTCCCTACAAGCCCTCCTGCCACAATCTCATATTCAGTAGATCACGAAACACCATGAATATTTCTCTGCAATATCTTCTAAATTAATTTTTAATTTCCTTATCTATGGTTATTTTGGATTTCCAAATCTGTCTCCCAGTAACTCCCCAATATACCCATCCTGCAAAGGGATGTTGAGGTAACTTGCATACATCTGTCTTTACCATGGCTCTTTCCTGCTCAGGAACTGTCTGCATCTCATTCTTGATATAAATCAAATCTGTTACCTTTCATGTAAGTTTTGCATCCTTCTATACTTCCTCTGTCCCATTTCTCATAGCCAATCAGTAGACTATCCAGTTTAGTCAATTTGGCTTCATTAACGTGAGCATGGGGTCACCATGCTTGTCCTTCCATTTGTATGTTTGCTTAGAACTTTTGGAATTAAGATTCCTTCTACTTTTTCATTGATTCATTAATTGAACGAATACTTAATGAATGCCTGTTCCATGCTAGGCACTCTTCTAGGTATGAAGATACACTGGTAATATGAGAGATCAGGCCCATTCTCAGGGAAAAATAATAGCCAATATATAAACAAACAATAAATAAACAAAATAGGACAATGATATATTATGGAGAAAGTAAAATATGATAATGTGATAGAGAATGATCGGAGGGAGGGATAGTTTTGGGCTGGTCTAAGGGAGTCCCATTCTGAGGAGGTGAGACAACGGCAAGAAGGAGGCAGCCGGATGGAGACTGAAGGCGAAGGTCCTCCAGCTGGAAGACATAGCACGAAGGTCTAGAAACAGAAATGAGCTTGGTGTGTTCAAAAGATAAAAGTAGGTTAACTGTAGTGAGTGAGGAGGAAGAGAGATGGTCTGAGGGGGGCGGGGCCAGATCATGTAGGGCTTTATAGCTCATGAGGAAGGGTTTAGTTATTTTACATGTCCTGAGAAGTCACTGGAGTGCTTTTGGTAAGAAACAGGAAGATCTAGTGATCATCTCCTCCCCCCCGCATCCTATGTGCTTTCTCTCCAGCCCAAGGTACAGTGATGATCAGTTCTTTGAACTTTGCACTTTGTTTTTGATCTTCTAGTGTGGAGGTGGAGGGGAACTGTTTGGGGCTTTCTAAACTATGTGTGCTCTCCCCTGTCTTCCAGGGGAGCCTCTGATTCCCCACTGCCCCACTCTTTGCAATCAGCCAGTGTTAGCAGTGAGTCATACCTTCTGATGTGTCCTGGGAGAAAAACTTTGACAAATCAGTTTTCTATCCATCTCACGCATGTATGAGACATAGAAATGTATGAGTAGCCACAGTGAAAGGAACTGAAGGACAGAGAGCTTCCTTCCTCTTTATTTGGTGTATTCCCGGAGCCCATCATATACCACTTATGCACGAGGACATGCTCAACGAAGTAACTTATTTATAAGACAACATTCCTTTGTTTATTTTCTTCCCACCCAACAGACACATTTTGTTTTATATTAAAGTAGTTCAGAAACCAAACTGTACAGCTTTGCTGGGGTCCACCTAGAGAGGAGAGGCTCCTTTCTAAGGGAGCCCAAACCCAAATATAAAAGCAAATCACAAATGTGAGCCCTTGTAAACCCTTGTATGGCGAACCTCTCTGGCAACACTCTCAACACCATGAATTTAAGATAGTCTATTTTTTCCTGTAATGAGATGTAGTGATTCATTTTCATTATCATAAATGCTGTGCTGATCCATTTCTAGTTGCCTTTATCTGTCCCCCAGTCATCTAGCAAGTCTCCATAAAAATATTTTAAATAAGTGTCAGTTTGTGTTCCTAGTTTGCGCGAGTAGAGGACCAGGTAGAATGCAAACAACTTGCCACATTCTTTCCTAATAATGTCACACTTACTAAACAGTCGATCCCTGCTCCACACACGTGCCACCGTTGCCACATTTCATCAAGCGACAGGGAGAAGCATCACACTGGCCAACGCTGCGCCCAGCATTCGGGTGGCCCTCAGGCGTCCCCAGGCTTCTGAAATGGCCATTCTTCTTAGTGCGAACTTGCAGAGTAAAAATACAACCTTGAAAAGAGAAAAAAATACTTCAGTTTAAAAAATGGAAGAAATGGATAAAACAAGAAGACAATTATTTTTCATTTTTAAAGGAACATTTTTCAAAATAAAGTAATACATGTTAATTTAATGAAAAAAAAACAGAAGCACAGGGTGAAAAATAAAGTCATCTACCATATCACCACTCCAGAGAAAACAGTTATTAACATTTTGAGAAATATATATATATATATATATATATATATATATACACACATATACATATATATACAGAGTTTTTTCTATGCTTAGTTGTATTTTCTTTTAAACAAAAGTAGAATCTTGCATGAAATATTTAATATATATATTGTACCAAAAATTTGTAGAGCATAAATACCTTTAACTCTTTTCTCATAGCATTAACTATTTTTAAATGATAGCATAATAGTCTCTTAGATCATAATATACTTAAATTTCAATTATTGAACTATTGACTCATTTCTTTTTTTTTGGTATTAAAAATAATGCTATAAGAAATGTATTACATGTATACCATGTGCATTTGCTAAGTATTTCCTTAGTATACATTTCCAGAAGGAAAACTACTAGGGTAACAGATATGGGTGCTTTGCAGCGTGCCCAAGTGTCATGGATATTTTGCACAGTTATGTCTCCCGCACCAAACACAGGGACACCCGCCTCTTCACAGGCACCACAATGCAAGACTTTATTGTCTGCTTTATTTTTAAAGGAAATAAATAATAAAATGCTTTTGCTATTTTTATTTTTTAAGATCTTTATTGGAGTACAATAAAGTACAACATTGCTTTACAATGTTGTGTTAGTTCCTGCTGTATAAAAAAGTGAATCAGCTATAAGTATACATATATTCCCATATCCCCTCCTTCTTGCATCTCCCTCCCACCACTCTAGGTGGTCACAAAGCACCAAGGTGATCTCCCTGTGCTATGCAGCTGCTTCCCACTAGCTATCGATTTTGCATTTGGTACTGTATATATGTTAATGCTACTCTCTCACATCGTCCCAGCTTACACTTCCCCCTCCCTGTGTCCTCAAGTCCATTCTCTGCATCTGCGTCTTTATTCCTGTCCTGCCCCTATGTTTGTCAGAACCATTTTTCTTTTTTTTTTAGATTCCATATATATGTGTTAACATACGGTATTTGTTTTCCTCTTTCTGATTTACTTCACTCTGTATGACAGACTCTAGGTCCATCCACCTCACTACAAATAACTCAGTTTTTTTTCGTTTTATGGCTGAGTAATATTCCATTGTATATATGTGTCACATCTGCTTTATCCCTTCATCTGTCGATGGACACTTAGGTTGCTTCCATGCCCTGGCTATTGGAAATAGTGTGCAATGAACATTATGGTACATGACTCTTTTTTTTTTTTTTTTTTTCACGGGTCTCTCTGTTTTTGGCTCTCCCCCTTCGGGGCACAGGGGCCCGGTGCCCAGGGTCAGCGGCTATGGCTCATGGGCCCAGCCGCTCTGCAGCATGTGGGATCTTCCCGGACTGGGGCATGAACCCGTGTCCCCTGCATTGGCAGGCCAACTCTCAATGACTGCGCCACCAGGGAAGCCCTACATGACTCTTTTTGAATTATGGTTTTCTCAGGGTATATGCCCAGTAATGGGATTGCTGGGTCATATGGTAGTTCTATTTGTAGTTTTTTAAGGAACCTCCATATTGTTCTCCATAGTGGCTATATCAATTTACATTCCCACCAACAGTGCAAGAGGGTTCCCTTTTCTCCACACCCTCTCCAGCATTTATTGTTTGTAGACTTTTTGATGATGTCTATTCTAAGCAGTGTGAAGTGATATCTCATTGTATTTTAGATTTGCATTTCTCTAATAATTAGTGATGTTGAACATCTTTTCATGTGTTTGTTGGTCATCTGTATGTCTTCTTTGGAGAAATGTTCATTTATATCTTCCATCTATTTTTTTGATTGGGTTGATTTTTTGATATTGAGTGGCATTAACTGCTTGTATACTTTGGAGATTAATCCTATGTCAGTTGCTTCATTTTGCAAATATTTTCTCCCATTCTTAGGGTTGTCTTTTCATCTTGTTTATGGTTTCTTTGCTGTGCAAAAGCTTTTAAGTTTCATTAGGTCTCATTTGTTTATTTTTGTTTTGATTTCCATTTCTCTAGGAGGTGGGTCAAAAAGGATCTTGCTATGATTTATGTCATGGAGTGTTCTGCCTATATTTTCCTCTAAGAGTTTTATAGTCTCTGGCCTTACATTTAGGACTGTAATCCATTTTGAGTTTATTTTTGTATACAGTGTTAGGGAGTGTTCTAATTTCATTCTTTTACATGTAGCTGTCCAGTTTTCCCAGCACCACTTATTGAAGAGGCTGTCTTTTCTCCATTGTATATTTTTGCCTCCTTTATTGAAAATATGGTGATCATATGTGTGTGGGTTTATCTCTGAGCTTTCTAACCTGTTCCATTGATCTATATTTCTGTTTTTGTGCCAGTACCATACTGTCTTGATGACTGTAGCTTTGTATTATAGTCAGAAGTCAGGGAGCCAGATTCCTCCAGATCCGTTATTCTTTCTCAAGATTGCTTTGGCTACTCCTGGTCTTTTATGTTTCCATACAAATTGTGAATTTTTTGGTTCTAGTTCTGTGAAAACTGCCAGTGGTAGTTTGATAGGGATTGCATTGAATCTGTAGATTTCTTTGGGTAGTATAGTCATTTTCACAATGCTGATTCTTCCAATCCAAGAATATGGTATATCTCTCCATCTGTTTGTATCATCTTTAATTTCTTTCAACAGCGCCTTATAGCTTTCTGCATACAGGTCTTTTGTCTCCTTTGGTAGGTTTATTTCTAGGTGTTTTATTCTTTTTGTTGCAATGGTAAATGGGAGTGTTTCCCTAATTTCTCTTTCAGATTTTCCATCATTTGTGTATAGGAATGCAAGAGATTTCTGTGCATTAATTTTGTATCCTGCTACTTTACCAAATTCATTGATTAGCTCTAGTAGTTTTCTGGTAGCATCTTTGGGATTCTCTATGTATAGTATCATGTCATCTGCAAACAGTGACAGTTTTTCTTCTTTTCCAATTTGGATTCCTTTTATTTCTTTTTCAAGATGCTTGATATGACTTCAATTTTCTTAAATTGACTGAGGCTTGATTTGTGACCCAATATGATATCCTAGGGAATTTTCCATGAGCACTTGAGAAGAAAGTATATCCTGTTGTTTTTGGATGGAATGTCCGATAAATATCAATTAAGTCCATCTTGTTTAATGTACCATTTAAAGCTTGTGTTTCCTTATTTATTTTCATTATGGATGATGTGTCCACTGGTGAAAGTGAGGGATTAAAGTCCCATACTATTATTGTGTTACTCTCAATTTCCCCTTTTATGGCTGCTAGCATTTGCCTTATATATTGAAGTGTCCTATGTTGGATGCATAAATAATTACAGTTGTTATATCTTCTTCTTGGATTTATCCCTTGATCATTATGTAGTTTCCTTCTTTGTCTCTTGTAATAGTCTTTATTTTAAAGTCTATTTTGCCTGATATGAGAATTGTTACTCCAGCTTTCTTTGATTTCCATTTGCATGGAATATCTTCTTCCATCCCCTCACTTTCAGTCTGAATGTGTCCCTAGGTCTGAAGTGGGTCTCTTGTAGACAGCATATGTATGGGTCTTGTTTTTGTACCCATTCAGCCAGTCTATATCTTTTGTTTGGAGCATTTAATCCATTTACATTTAAGGTAATTATCAATATGTATGTTCCTATTACCATTTTCTTAACCGTTTGGGGTTTGTTTTTGTAGGTCTTTTCCTTCTCTTGTTTTTCCTGCCTAGAGAAGTTCCTTTAGCGTTTGTTGTAGTGCTGGTTTGGTGGTGCTGAATTCTCTTAACTTTTGCTGTCTGTAAAGGTCTTAATTTATCCTTCGAATCTGAATAAGATCCTTGCTCAGTAGAGTAATCTTGGTTGTAGGTTTTTCCCTTTCAACACTTTAAATATGTCTTGCCACTCCCTTCTGGCCTGTAGAGTTTCTGCTGAAAGATCAGCTGTTAACCTTATGGGGATTCCCTTGTATGTTATTTTTTGCTTTTCCCTTGCTGCTTTTAATATTTTTTCTTTGTACTTTATTTTTGATAGTTTGATCAATATATGTCTTGGTGTATTTCTCCTTGGATATATCGTGCATGGGACTCTCTGTGCTTCCTGAACTTGATTTACTATTTCCTTTCCCATGTTAAAGAAATTTTCAACTATAATCTCTTCAAATATTTTCTCAGTCCCTTTTCTTTCCTCTTCTTCTTCTGAGACCCCTCTAATTCAAATGTTGGTGTGTTTAGTGTTATCCCAGATGTCTCTGAGAGTGTCCTCAATTCTTCTTGTTCTTTTTTCTTTATTCTGCTCTGTTGCAGTTATTTCATCTCTTTTATCTTCCAGGTCACTTATCAGCTCTTCTGCCTCAGGTTTTCTGCTATTGATTTCTTGTAGAGAATTTTAAATTTCATTTATTGTGTTGCTCATCGTTTTTTGTTTGCTCTTTAAATCTTCTAGTTCCTTGTTAAAACTTTCTTGTATTTTCTCCATTCTATTTCCAAGGTTTGGGATCATCTTTACTATCATTACTGTGAATTATTTTTCAGGTAGACTGCCTATTTCCTCTTCATTTGGTCCATCTGGTGGGTTTTTACCTTGCTTCTTCATCTGCTGCATATTTCTCTGTCTTCTCATTTTGTTTAATTTACTGTGTTTGGGGTCTCCTTTTCGCAGGCTGCAGGTTTGTAGTTCCCGTTGTTTTTGGTGTCTGCCCCCAGCGGGTGAGATTGTTTCAGTGACTTGTGTAGGCTTCCTGGTGGAGGGGACTGGTGCCTGTGTTCTGGTGGTGGGGCTGGATCTTGTCTTTCTGGTGGGCAGGACCACATCTCGTCCTGCGATTTGGGGTGTCTCTGAACTTAGTATGGTTTTAGGCAGCCTCTCTGCTAATGGGTAGGGTGTTTTCCTGTCT